AAAATTTTCGGAGACAAAATCAAATGACTCAGTCGTAAATTTACGCGATTGTGTCAGCCCTAAATACAAGGCGAAGCTTCCATTATTGGCTGTCTAAATATTGTATTGTATGTGTATGAGGGTTCTAAACACTTCATTGTTTCACGGATCAGTGTCCGAATTCGATGGGCCGTACAGATAGGTCCCGATAGCCCCCGGGTAATGTAGTGCATAGACTATTAATCCACTCAATGAATATTTGCATGATGCAATTTGCTCATTGGGTAGGATAAAAGTCATTTGTATAAAAACCTAACGTTGATTGTTATGGGAAATATCTATTAAATTCCTTATTTCCGCTACGACAGACGATTTTACAGATTTCAATGTTACTTAAAACACTTGAATACTAACATTTTTATCGCTGTGAAAATGTCGATTTTGTCCTGCTATTTGTTCTATTAAATGGGGAGACAAGCTTATAGTCCACCCGTTATTCAGTGGTTACATGGAGTCGAAGTCACAAGAACATTCCACAACAGCTGTCACACCCTTTTGATCGAAATCCCAGACGCTTAGTTTATTTACGTTACTTAATGCGTCACATAAACATTCCTTGAAATGCCAACAAACTTATGTTTTAATCGGATTAACTTTTTTTTGTAAATCCTTTTTACACCGATGCTTTGAGAGGCTATTTCAGCTTCTCCTTGACGTGTAGTTGAGCTCACGGGGCTCAAGCCGGAGTGTTGCTAATACTGGCCCTAGCAAGAGCAGTGCTTCGCAGAATCTACCACCGGATCGGAAACGCGACCCACTGAGAAGATCCGGCGAGAAACTCAGTGGGCTGTGTCTATGGGTTAATTCGCTCGTCGAACCCTTCGTCGCAAGCGACGGGTTCGACGAGGACGGTGACTGGTGCTTGTGGTACCTAAAAGCACTGTTAATGGATCGGGAGGATCCGTAATGACGTGTTTTGAGCGACGTCGACTGCTTACCATTCGGTCTAACAGGATCGGGTATGAATCGTCCTAATGAACTCGTAAAGACTTCCCGACAGCGAGTAATCTCTCCGTCCCATTACATTCCATCTCTAATTGAGAAAGTTCGACCTACGGGACAAGCCGTTTGCTTTGTGATTCTTTAGAGAAGAAATGTAAATAAAACTAACATAATATCGTTAAAACAAAATAAGATACGGTCTTCGTGCTGACGGCGTTACATTGAAAATCAGTAAACACAATAGATTGCATGTACCTGATTTGAACAATAAAGTGGTGCATCCACTATGCACTGCGGGGTAGCCTTGGGCGTCTCACTGCGCTGAACATGCTAGTCTTGCATTGTTAATAATATAGAACAAACTAGAACACGGAATATATTATATTAAATTAGAATGAGAAAAGAATACGCACGCATGCTTATTTTGTTTGACGGCTGCCGTTCTGTGTGGCACGTGGGACGTGGTTAAGCCAGAGCTCAAAATATAATTAAGATAGTGTCGTGGAATTTAAATTAAGTTAATAATATTGACTATGGTCATTCTGTGAAACTCTTAACGTGGTAAATTCCGCTTTTATATTAAATATATTATGCTAATATTTATAAGAAAAATATAAAATATGAAAATTACTAAAAGATTTCTTGAAAAAATCGCAAATAAAAAATTGTATAAATTTTTTTTATTGCTTAGATCGTGGACGAGCTCACGGCCCACCTGATGTCCTGATGTTAAGTGGATACCGGAGTCCATAGACATCTACAACGTAAATACTGCCACCCACCTTGAGATATGAGTTCTAAGGTCTCATTATAGTTACAACGGCTGCCCCAGCCTTCAAACCGAAACGCATTACTGCTTCACGTCCGAAATAGGCAGGGTGGCGGTACCTATCCGTGTGTACTCACAAGGGACCCTACCACCAGTATATACTTTATCACATAAAAACCTGGTCCAAATGTTTTACCACGAAGCGATCGTTCGAATCGATCGAAGCGTTGTTGTTGTATGTGTCATACTGTAATAGCCGAATGGTAAACCGTCGACGTCGCCCAAAGCGCGTCATCACGGATCCTCCTGATCCATTAACGGTGCTTTTAGGCACTACAAGCACCGGTCACCGTCGTCGTCGAACCCGTCGCTTGCGACGAAGGGCTCGATGAGCGAATTAACTCACAGACACAGCCCACTGAGTTTCTCGCCGGATCTTCTCAGTGGATCGCGTTTCCGATCCGGTGGTAGATTCTGCGAAGCACTGCTCTTGCTAGGGTCAGTGTTAGCAATTCTCCGGCTTGAGCCCCGTGAGCTCACCTACACACGCTAGGGTAAGCTGAAATAGCCTCTCAAGGCTATCAGCATAGGTAGGGAAAAAAACTGTAATAGCTATTATTACAAGGAAATTGAGGTTTTGAATCCATGTCTCAAGCTCCACTCTTGTAATGCCAGGCTGTCAATTTAACCGCTAAACACTACTAGAGCCTTGAGCTGTTCCCAAAACAACGGAAAGCTTTCTCAAATCACGTTTTAGAAATCCTTGTGAGGATACAAGTTCATTCGTATTTCACATTGGCGACCAACGTGAAGTTACCAGTCGAACCGGGCGCATCGGCAGTGACTGCGGTCGACCTCACAGCGTCGCGCTGCGGTGACCACTGCAAGGCCGCGACCTTAGACATTGAAACAAAATCTAAGCTGTCTGTGCCCGTAGTAATTTCCCGTGACAAACGTCGATTTTTACTACATCATATATCATATCTTTTCTTTTACAAATCTATTTATTAAAACACAGTTCATGATTGGCAATATTAATATTAACACAAAATGTAACAATCATTTTTTTAAATTAATTAATTAATTATATCTCTTATGGAATGCTCCTTATGAAAAAAAATGATTTCTATTGTTTTTATTTTATTTTATAGATAGATGATTGAACGAGCTCATGATCCACTTGGTGTTAAATGGTGTTAACGGAACCCATCGCACTTCAAACCATAACGCATGAATGCTTCGCGGCAGAAACAGGATGGTGATGCTTATCACTTCTGATGCACAGCATAATACGTTCTACTCACTAATATTTAGGTTTTATTCGTTTTTAATATCTTTGTTTTGATTTTATTTATAGTACTGGTTTTTTCTAAACATTTTTTTATAATGTGAGGTTATCGTTATACCGCCGATGAAATAAAATTTTGTGATTTACTACTAAGAAATACCTATACGTTAATGAGTTCATTGGCTTTTCTAGTTTCATTCGACTAAGGTCGCACCGATTAATACTAGTTTTCAAATATTTTATTCGCAGTATTCATAAAAACGCCTGAATACAATTTTAGGAAAATGTGACTTCTTGTTCGATTCTATTTAAGATGAAGGGCGTTTTATTTTAATTTTACTTGACAATATTGACATAACGAAAAATTGAGAAGTTGTTATCAGATGGGTCTTTCATTAAAAAATCATATTTGCAATGTTACAAAAAATGTACGGTAAAAAATGACGAAGCGAAGCAGTGAAGACGTCACTAGATAGAGTCAAGAATCGATAAAATCAGATTAACATATCGATAATATCCACACAAGCTACTGTCATTATAAATCATTCGGACGCAACGATCTGTCACTCGGCTGACATGCACTCAATTGTCTATGGTCAGGGGTGATCGACCGGATAAATTTTTTTACGTCACCTTTTTAGAACGAAACAACATAATAAATCGAGATATTTAATATGCCTTTTGGATCCTTTGTTATTTGTGCTATTCAGAATATTTTTTATAAACTAGCATCACGCGATATTACCGGTTGACTATACATAAAATAATTTATAAAATATTGACAATTGTTGTATGCAAATATTATAAATTACAATTATTCTTCCTTAATAATGTCCTTGCATTTAAATTTTCCCGTAGGAGTTGACATAAGCGGAAATACTTTCCATTTCGTTTCAAATGAGTATGCAACAGCACAGCCCTATTTGAACGAGACTAGGGTATCCATCATATTTTATTTCTCTTTTCTTTTTTCGTCACACAATTCATAATCATTTATAGCTTTATAACTGCAAGATTTCAGTTACAGAAGTAATAATATTGTATAGGCGACATATCTTCGCGATCCTTAATTTAGACGTTTTTCACTAGGCAATAAATTATTTTCCGAACGCTACTACGCTTAAATTCCTTCCTTAATTATATTTTTTATGTTTCTAAAAAAACTGTTTCGGAAGACACATTAGTCAGATTCTTTACCGTTATGTACTAACATAGTTATATTATATTTTACGGGTTCAACAGAACAGTGCAATCCCAGCGGAAGCAGAACCATACAAACTGAATACTCATCGGGTCACTACTGTATTGTGCGCCAAAAGAAAATGTTAATCTGCAACTTAATAATTAAATTACTGCTAAGCCTTGATTTTCCTTCAGTCAGTTATCAGCGAGGGTATAGAACACACGATTTTCCACAGTTTTCCACATAATTCGTTTTTATATAATTGTATTAGGTGTTATTTTAATACTAGATTCAATAATCATATTTTTTTATTAAGATTATGGTGATATTTAGTGTTATGATTTTAATAAGCAGTGATAATTAAGTGATAAATTATTTTATGAACTTACATGGTGACTGTATTTACGTTGAGTGAACATGGCGCCATCAAGCGACGGCCACGTATACTATTACGATTTATTTCGCCAGCACCCGAACACGGGTACGAGTTTTATAGTTTAGGCTACTCGGTAAGAGATGGCGCTGCATTTTAAATTTAACTGTGGGCTTTAAAAAATATAATAATATTATTATTATTTAAGTAAAAAGGCTTCATTATTGTCAATTGTAAAAAATAATTATTTTACTGATTGTTATTATTTTTTACAGGCATTAAAGATGATTTATTTTAGTTATTAATTTTATAGTGATTTTTGTTTTAATAATAGCATAATATCCATACAGCACGTCAGAGTTAAATAATATTAAGTAGATCTAACAAAACAATGATATTGTTTCAGGCTGAGCCCGGAGACACTATTGCTACAACCAAAGAAGGTTAGTTTTTTAATCTTTTTATAAAAAAAAGGTTTCACATTGAATAAGTTCTTGTCTTGTTGATGAACGCACCCTAAGAGTCCAAGAATTTGTGACGTCTAGAGCAAGATGTACTTAAATTACGGATAAATTTACAGAAGAATGGGTGACTCGTAAAACAAGTGAAGTCACAACGACCCGGCAGATAGAGACGAGGGTGAAACGTGAATTAATATTAGAAGACGGACGCATCCTGAGTGATTCTGGACCGAAGATATCTACGTCAGTCAACGAGGACACGCACACCACTAATTTACAACAGACTGAAGTGAGTCTTACAACTTGTTTCTAGAAAGTACATTAATGTATTCATGACTTATCGAGAACACTTTTTCTTGAAATGTAAATTAATATTGTCATTAACATTAAATGATTTCTTTTCAGCAATTTAAATGCAACTAACATCCTCTCCGTTACTTTTTTTTTTCTTACCTAAGTTGATAGCCTTGAGAGGCTAGTTATTAATACTCAACTATGATTTTTATAACATTAAATCGGCTATATAAAGTCAGCAGCTTAGTAATTGAAAGGAATTAATTTTGAGATTCAATTTAGTTTAGTAAAACGCCACGGTTCGTAATAATTGTAAAAAAAAATTGTCGATAAATAGAATTGAAATCCAAAAATTTGTTAAGATTTGCGCATCATATATTAATGGTACTCTTCTGAAGCCTCTCTTGAAGTACTAACAATACCATAAACGATGCGTGCGACGCATTCATGTGACATAAAAAAAAACACGACTTATTACGATTATTCACTTATTACGCCAAATTTAAGGTATTCTCTTTACATTTTTAAAGGAATCTGGAAGAAGCGTTTCTTGGGCTTTTTTGGTTTTCGGAGTGTTGACTCAGAACACAGAAACAGAGATTTGACGCTATTTCGATGTTTCTCGAAGAAATCTTTGATATATTCTTCCCCGACTTGTGGCAGCACGAACGTTGTTTTAAGAACAATCATTCAAATGATATCATTGATCATTTATTTTATTTTAGCATCGCGTTCCAGAAGGCCAAAATGATAATTCCGCTTCAACAACAGAGATTGATGGAGCTATTGGAGCACCCGCTGATGGTAAATATTTTATTAAATTAAGAGCTGCATTTCTGTTTAAAGTATGTTTACTGGTTGTGGGATTTCCTAAAGCAGTTAATTTTTATTTCTAACATATGGGCAGGCAAGCTTACGATTGATCTGATGCTAAGCGGTTACCAAATGTAATACCGATGCTAAGTTTCAACCCTGAAGAATTCTTAATTGAAAAACGGCCTATTTTAAATATCAAATGAGATCGCACAAAAAAAATAGGTTGGCTATATGCATATGTCTTATAGACAACTTAATAGATTTTATGGTAACTGGTATTAATTCAATATTAATATTAATACCATAGGGTTAACGACATCTTATTAAAATAAAAAATAAAAAATCTATATTAAAGCTCCAGATTTATTATCAATATAATTGGATGAAAATATTGAAAAATGTTTTTTAGAAGTGGACGGACTTCAAACGATCGTCGGTGAAGTGTCACCTGCTGGAGCAAAAGTCCTGGTTTCGTCGAGCGTTGTTGCTAACCCTGATGGCAAGGTCAGGGAGAGCCATGACCTTCGCGTGCTCACGAGGAACATAACCGAACGAGTGAAAGAGACGGAAGAGCGGATACACAAAGGGGATACAACACATGAGGTAAGTTTAAAATTAATTGCTTATAGTAATGCAGAGTAAATTGCGTTTCACTGTACCGCTGTATAAATGACTAGCTGACCCGGCAGACTTCGTAGTGCCTCAATCGGTAAATAAAAGAGCTAAAATTTTGTATAGAATAAACTTAAAACAAACAAAAGGAATCCGTTCGACGGGGTACACATCCAAGGGAAAACGAAATTGGTATTTTTATTTCATTCCGAGCATTTTCATGTTTATCTACCTTTTAAACCTTCTCTGGACTTCCACAAATAATTCAAGACCAAAATTAGCCAAATCGGTCCAGCCTTTCTCGAGTTTTAGCGAGACTAACGAACAGCAATTCATTTTTATATATATTGATATTGAATTTCTCGAATATGTAATTTTTATGTTTGGATATTAAAACACGCAACAGTTGGAGGGATTGGAATGAACTTTCGCACAAAGACAGGTTATTATAAGCTGGATTACACATAGAATACTTTTTATAATGGTAAAAGATATGAAGCGAACAGCGCCGGGTATATTTGCAATATTAAATACGACAGTGTGTTCTTGGTTCGAGATTTTACATAAGTCGACTGATAGTTATGGCCCAGAGAGAAAAACAAGTAACTTTTTATTCCTAGCAAATGCATTGTGTTTCATTATTTCTAAGCACATCTAGTATTATACAACAAACTAACAAAGTAAAGTTTTCTTTACTATGTACAAAATCCATTGTGTCTTTCCGTATACGATTTTACAACTTTGACTTAAAGTTGTTTCAAACGAGTGTTATTTCAGTAATTATTCAGTTCTACCTTCTAAAACACTTATATTATCCTATATGAATGTATCAAAGACATAGAGTAGACATAGATATCGACATAGACATAGAATATATGTAAATGTATCAATTAGAGTTTAGTTTCCTATGGCTGTATTTTATATGATAACTGTACATAACTGTGTACAGGACGTAGTTAAGAAATATGGTTTACAAATTCCACTTTGAGTCCCAATACAGTTTAAAATTATGTTCAGATAATCTTCGAGATGCTTGTAGCATATCTAAGAGACATTCATTTACAAGTGTGTTCATTAATGTAGGAATAATTTAATCTTGTTTTCCCTGTCATAAATTATTTTCACATAGAGGAATATTCTATAAGGCGTCAGTCTTCGTGATGGCTGCTATTTGCAGGCTATTTAGGAATGCTTTTAAAGCAGTATTTATATCTTGAGATTCAAGGGACGCGCTCGATAAGTTTTCGTCGTTTGAGTCTTGTAAGTGATATCGAGTTTGATGCATGGTAATGGATCCGATGCTGTGACCTTTTTCGAATCGCCGTTATTTTACTGGGTGTTTTAAGAATTTATAAAAGATTAACGATCTATATCTAGCGATTATAATAACGTCGATTGATGGACTTGTTCATTGCTCATTTTAAGTTATGGGAGTCGATAATGTTAGTGCTTTTGAGGATATGGCCCGCTTGATAATGAGTGGTCATCGTCGCTTGTAGATAACAGTAGCGCCAAGGATAAAACCAAATTGCTGCCTATAATTTTGGACTCTTTTCAAATCTCGTTTGGAGAATAACGTGTCACAGCTCATCGCACCCAAGAGACGCCGCGACAGAGAGCTCATTCTAGAGCCGGAGTGGTAAAAACACGTGTGGCACTTGGGGACTGTCACGGTAAAGCTATTGCATAGCATTCTTTATCAACTTATGCAATTATAATTAGACAATAATAATTTAATATTAAAACAATAATAAAATAAGACCACGCTATATTTATAAACATTAACTAAAGCAAACATTAACTGTCCCCTTCACACTCATAAGCTAAACTGCGCGAGAGAGAGATGGGCAGACTTTTCATGATGCGCATGCAGTGCGACGTCACGCCGCGCGCTTATTCTCAAACACTACACAAGCGCAACGTGTAAATGTATTGAACGCGAGCTACATGGTAGGCGGAGAGGTGTTAGGTTATTTTCGTTACGGAATTTCTTGATTCGGTCGCCGCGCTCATAGCCCGCGATAAAATCTGTGCAATAGCTTAAAAAAATTATCGTTCACCTTTTTATATTACTAAAGCAATGGCTATCGGTCGCTCTTCGGATTGGAATGCGTGTATCTTTGCAACAGAAATCGCCAGAGTAGTAACCAGACGATGGGACTGTTTCAAGTGTAACGATATATATCATAGAACACATGATATTTAACAGATGCCTTAATCGTGCTAGCGTCATTTGCAATATATGTTCGTACAAATACAAGTTCCGAAGAATAAGATTCGGATCGTCACACAGCAATGTCACTCGCTCCATGGAATATTCAAAAATTACAACTATGTAGTCTTAAAATTTACCTATGTTTGATGGTACATCAGCAGATTAAACTTTTAAAGAACGTTCCATCATTAAGCTATTGTAAAATAAAAGTGGCATCTTCACTATTCGCTAATGATTTTCGGAAACTCAGCCAATAAATCTTGAAAGACTAAATTGCCGTTAATCCGCGTTTAATATAGGTCAATCGTGTGCAGTATGCAGTGCGGATAGCGTGATTTCCGCACAGCAAGGTTGTGCAATGAAGGCAAACATGAAGCCAATTAGAAGGAGGTTCCCCGTTTTAACAGTTGATGTATGGTCAAATTGAAGTTTTAATTAAAACAGNTTTTCGGAAACTCAGCCAATAAATCTTGAAAGACTAAATTGCCGTTAATCCGCGTTTAATATAGGTCAATCGTGTGCAGTATGCAGTGCGGATAGCGTGATTTCCGCACAGCAAGGTTGTGCAATGAAGGCAAACATGAAGCCAATTAGAAGGAGGTTCCCCGTTTTAACAGTTGATGTATGGTCAAATTGAAGTTTTAATTAAAACAGTTTCAAGCTTGGCAGGTTGTACATTATCCCGGAATTAATTATTTTCTTAATTAAATCAGTGCTGTCTTTGTTAGGCTTAAGGGTTAGTTAGTGTTTGTGCTGTGTTGAATTGCTACGAGGCACGCTTTTGATTAATTTGAGTTTATACAGAAAAATCATTGGTTACATTTTCTGAGGACTTTTTGTACTGGTGGTGGGACCTCTTGTGAGTCCGCGCGGGTAGGTACCACCACCCTGCCTATTTCTGCCGTGAAACAGTAATGCGTTTCGGTTTGAAGGGTGGGGCAGCCGTTGTAACTATACTTGATACTTTAGAACTTATATCTCAAGGTTGTAGATGTCTATGGGCTCCAGTAACCACTTAACAGCAGGTGGTTTGTGAGCTCGTCCACCTATCTAAGGAATAAAAAATATACTATACATACACGAAAAAAGTACACTCGTAAATTTATGTTTCTGTAATTGAGAAATATATAAATTGTGACTTCGACCGGGCCTCAATAGAAAACAGTTTGATTCCAATCCAATTTTCCAGTCAACCAACCAGTCACGTTCAAGGTGGGAGATAACATTCCCGTTTCAATATCTGCAGACTGAATGGTGATTTATTCACTCATCTATGCTAAACGCATGAATAAAACGTTAAATACTGGTAAAACTTAAGTTTTTTCTTGCTAATAATAATCACATTACTACTAGGATAAGTTCGAATATAGGTCTTAGCGATTTCAATGAAGGAGACACTAACAAAAAAAGATTTTAATTTTCGAGAACAAGAAGTAATACAGTTCAACATACAAACAGCAAGGCAAGGCAAGAGAGTTGGCCTTCTCATAACTAGTATTAGCACTGATAACTGGTTGCTAACGTGAACACATCTCACGTCATGTCCAATCTATTCAAGCTTAATGTATTCATTGATGTAATGATTTAAGCAAACTGTTGTTGATTGGTTTTTTTTCTATGACTTTGTTATGTAACGTTACCGTTTATATTTAACTATTGCTTGTTCGTTAATTCGTTTATCTTATTCGTTCGCANAGAACTTATATCTCAAGGTTGTAGATGTCTATGGGCTCCAGTAACCACTTAACAGCAGGTGGTTTGTGAGCTCGTCCACCTATCTAAGGAATAAAAAATATACTATACATACACGAAAAAAGTACACTCGTAAATTTATGTTTCTGTAATTGAGAAATATATAAATTGTGACTTCGACCGGGCCTCAATAGAAAACAGTTTGATTCCAATCCAATTTTCCAGTCAACCAACCAGTCACGTTCAAGGTGGGAGATAACATTCCCGTTTCAATATCTGCAGACTGAATGGTGATTTATTCACTCATCTATGCTAAACGCATGAATAAAACGTTAAATACTGGTAAAACTTAAGTTTTTTCTTGCTAATAATAATCACATTACTACTAGGATAAGTTCGAATATAGGTCTTAGCGATTTCAATGAAGGAGACACTAACAAAAAAAGATTTTAATTTTCGAGAACAAGAAGTAATACAGTTCAACATACAAACAGCAAGGCAAGGCAAGAGAGTTGGCCTTCTCATAACTAGTATTAGCACTGATAACTGGTTGCTAACGTGAACACATCTCACGTCATGTCCAATCTATTCAAGCTTAATGTATTCATTGATGTAATGATTTAAGCAAACTGTTGTTGATTGGTTTTTTTTCTATGACTTTGTTATGTAACGTTACCGTTTATATTTAACTATAACTATAATAATTTTATCCGATTGAGTGCGTATAGTGTTGTCGACAGGAGCTTAAGGAAAAAGTTCTGTCGTAGTATCATTAAAGTAAGACAGTTTTCGCGCTTCCGTGCCAGAAGATTTAAGCTATTACATAGCTTTTATTGTGGCTTTGAGCGCGGCGACCGAATCAAGAAATTCCGTAACGAAAATAAAACCTAACACCCCCCCCCACTTCGCCTACAATTTTTCGAATATATTGTTATGGACGAAATCGAATTTTATAATCAGTATCGACTGAAAATTAAAAAATATATATATCTTGACAGTACTTACTGTTGTTATTATTTTACATAATTTCTTTTGAACTCTTTTGAGCGTTTTATCCAGATTTACTATTATACTTTAAATACGC